AATTGATCTTTCTTCACCATATTTAAACAAACTTTTTGGTCCATATTGAGGGTACCATACCTCCTTAAGCTTGCTATTGAGAAAAAGGACATTCAGAAGTGAAAAATTCCATCATTCAAAATTCCAGAAGTGGAAAGCTAGCGCAAAACGAGTTTATACCAGTTCTTATATAACATGTACAGTCAAACCTCTCTACAACGGCCACCTTGAGGACAGAGGAAAGTGGCCCTTGTAGAGAGGTGGCCATTATGGGGAGGTAAGGGTGTAATATGACACCGGTTTTTTCCTTAAGGTTCAACATTTTTGCTTAGTGTAGCATGCAAATACGTTTCGCAGTCAAACTAAATCGATGACACAGAAACCAAACAGAAACAGGGATCAACGACAGGCGGTATGGATCAAGCACAAATTGGGTTTTAGTACAAGTAACGTTCGTCAGTCGTTGATTAACTGGCCGTTGTCGAGAGGTTATTTTGGCAGCCGGGACGCGCCTAAGTGGCCGTTGCCGTTGTGGAGAGGTGGCCGTTGTAGAGAGTTTAGGAGTGAATGTATGAACCGTCCGTCGGGACAAGAAAAAGTGGCCGTTGTAGAGAGGTGGCCATTAGTGGAGGTTCGACTATAAAAAAAATAGCGCATTCGTTAACTTTTTGGTTCCTTCTAAGTTTTCTTGAGCGGTTTGAAAATAAGCTTAAATTAGGGCGTTATTTGTGCATATCTACTAAAAAACGCCGAGGTTAGTAAATTTTATCCTATTCTTTGATCGTAGCTTTTTAATCCAGCTGAGCAGATGCGTTGCTAAGTCCTGACTGCACTCATTAACTACCTCTAATAGCTATTTAATGTCTACAATATTATTGAACAGGGGTTTCAATAACATTAGTTATAAGCGGCTACTGAGGGTGTAATAGGCGGCTGTGACCACTAGAGGGGCCGCAAGGCCCCTTTCCCCTAGGGGGGTGTGGGGGCATGCTCCCCCAGAAAGATTTGAAATCTAGAAGCTCGGAAATGCGATTTCCAGCGTTTTGGGCATCAAAAAGCGTGCTGTTGATGGGTATTTTTATTGACCACAAAGCAGGATTTTTTTGACAAACTATGAATTTTTTGATGCAAAGAGGTGCATTTTGAATACCTTTCTAGGCAGATATCT